TATATATATCTTTTAATCCAATGATTTATATATATATATATAAATAATTGTGCCTATATAATTTATTGAGTATTAAAAAGGGTTTTTAAATAGAAGATGTGTATCTTTTAATCCAATGATTTAGGTTTTTAAACCATTGTATTGGTAAAAAATTATAGTATTTTTGCTTTTGTTTTAGAAACCCAGGATTTTATACAATGTCTGTGAAAAAGAATTTCCATAGAAGTGTGAAGAGTACATGAGCATTTGTTAAAGCATGATTCTCCCTCTAAATACAGTACCAAAATATATTTAGAAATATGGCATACAATATTGCCTGTAGACAGTAGAAAAAATTGAATTTTTTAATACTGACAGGCTATGACAGTTCAGCTCTGCATAAAGCATTGCATTTAGGAGCTTAACAATGTGCAGCATTTAGTATAATTAAAACATTTAGACCACTGAGACTACTTTTTCCCATTACGGCAGTTACTAACACAAATAATCCCTGTTCCTGGTCTTAGCTCCTTCCCTCTTTACTGCCAGCACTGTTCTGATATAAAGTGTTTATTATAGCGGACGCACTTTGGCCATAGCTTAGACGTCCATACCTTTCTGCAGTACACGCATTTGGTTCGAGCCATAGTTGTTTTTAAGGTTGAATTTATAATGGATTAACACCTGTGATGTCACTTGTGTGTCAGATTTGTAGGTGAAAAAAAACAAAAAAACTTTTTTTAAACTTATTAAGGCTTAAGCAAATTTTTATTGCACTTCATAACAAAGATTAATCAAATTAAGGTGGTGATGTCAGGGTATCTGTTTGTAGTGATCCTGGGAAACACAAAGATTTTTCAGTTTCCATGCTTCATTATGAAAAATGTGAGGTATAAGACGTTCTTAGGGGAAGCTGTTTGGTTGAAAAACCATTTTAAGTAGTGTTAGCCTGACTGTCTGTCTGCTTGAATGTTGCTTGAGATTTTCTCTCCCAGTACACTAAAATGAAATCCTCTTGACAGCTGTACATTTAAATAAGATACTGGCTTTCCTAAGTCAGACCAGATGACCCCACTTAAAAGAGTGCAAACTATAACTGATCAAACCACTTGCATAAAAATAGATACTAAAATGATTTGAATTCCAGGAGGAATGGGTGGTCCAGCTATTGCATCTTTACTTAATAAAGCCTAAATGGATACAGGTGACTTTTTATTGCCAACCTGATACATTATATGCAGTATAATGATTAGATTATAAAGGGTTAAATAATTCAAATATGTTGTTTTATTTTCACATTTCTGCATTACAATCAATGTGAATGTGTTGGAAGGTCACCTACAATTTTCAAGGCAAAGTCTCCTTATTGTTATGTAACTCCAAGAGCTCTTAGAGACACTTCTTTTGATAATGCTGATGCATTCACTTCAGGTCCAAGAAAATTAGGGATAATTTTCTATTAGGAGAGCAAATTTCAAAAGCCTTAATTAACCCACTGCACATGAAAGTAAAAGGCAAAATGTGAAAAGGAAATTAGGAATTGAAGCATTAATCAAGGTTTGCATCTGCTTGGAAGCACATAAATGAGATGATTATGCAGTCATGAGATGTGGTTTAGAGATTCAGTTTTATTTACGGCTTTACAGATCCTTAATTGTTTAATTATTCTGTTCATTCCCATGATATATTAGCCCATCTTCTTATACAAAATGCTTTCCCATGGCTTTCACAGAGAGATATCTGCATGACCTGCCTCCATATGAAGTAGTTCACCCAACTAGAGTTGATGCCAGAGGCCACTTCCTGTCAAACGTCTTGTCCTACCGCACACGCCGTGTACAACGCCGGGAAACCTCAGAGGACAGTGCGGGTGCCCATCAAGTCTTCTACCAGTTTCTCCACGGCGGCCACAGCTTGCACTTTAATCTTACTCTTAATCCAAACCTGCTGGCTCCGGGCTTTATGACGGAAAGGAGATATGGTGGCCTGGAAGGGGCCAAGATCCAGCGCCCCGGAGCTCCCGGGTGTTACTATTTAGGCGAAGTGTGGGACAGGACCACTGTTAAAGGACATGCCGCAATAAGTACATGTGATGGACTGGTGAGTATATAACTTTATATTCCAAAGTAATGTCAAATCATCTTTTATCTTTAAAATTGGGGTTTTAAGAGACATAAACGTACTTATTTTTAAAGAAACAATGAATTACAAGTTTTTGATATGTAAAACCATGTTCTAAATATAACAGTAACTGAGAATTTTTATGCTAAGTGCTATTCTGAGATTGCATTAAAAGCCATCAGCCAAGAGTGAGAACCACTGACTAAAATATCTTCACCCTTTTCTTTTTAAACCAGTACAAGAAAAAGTTTTCTCTTTCTTTCAAATGTAAAGTTTTTAATCCGCACAGTAAAATAATAGAAGCGAGCAGAATGCCCAGAGTCTATGGACTTAACCCAAAAGTGGGGTTATCCTCTGTGATGCTTTGTCAGGCTTTCATTGTTGCTGCATTGAGTTGTGTGGTGTGTGTTTGCTTTGTTTGTCCTTGGCAGGGTAATTACCGACACAGTCCGTTTAAAAAATATTCTGTTTTCTTAAGCACATTATAATAATACATTTCTTCATCATGAAGCTGCCACAGTTCCTTTTTCAGTTAATCTCTAGAGACAGAGATGGTAATAGATCTGGGTTGAATAATTTATTTATTAAACCAATGTAATACTGTATAACTTTGATGTTAAAAGAAAATTGGTTGCAAAGATTATAATTAAGTTTAGCATGTGTTCAAATTAAGGTTGAAATATACATGGGCCTAAAGATAGGAAAATGTATACATAAATGCAATTAATTCTTAGATTAAATGTTGTTTAATGTGTTGCACATCTGCATTTTTATTCAGGGTTAACATATAATCAGAATCTAATAGCCCAGACTATAAGACTATAAAATATTTAATGGGCACCAGTGTATGGTTGAGGCTGCAGAAGAGCTTTGCTAGTCTGCTTTATAAATCCTAAAACCTTTTTTTTTTTCTGAACATAGCCATGTTGAAATTTCAACCATGGATCCGTTTCTTCTGAGCTTGAATATTTAAATTCTTTTTCAATACTTGTACCTTTTAAGTGATGAATTAGGATCAGTGAAACATAACTGCCACAAGGCATGATACTAAATCCACCTCAAGGTTTACAGCCCCACCATTACTCCGGTCAAAGCAGCAATAGTTCTCTAGAAGTCATTTGCTTGTCCAAATGGGAACATGTCTGTAAAGCCTGGTGGTATCACTTTAGCATATTTTTTTCCCCCTGGTGACGTTCCTCTTGATCCATGGTGATGTAACTCTAGCGTTTTAAAGGTTATCATGGGAGGTTTGACTGTCTGTGGTTTCTGTGTGTTATTCTTCAACATCTTTAACACCTTTCTTTTATCTGAATAGGACATTTTGACAAAACGTCTTGTGTACATTTGTTTATTTGATGGACCTAGAACTATTCCCAGTTATGGAAATGTTTATTTATCTGGGTCTAAATGTGAACTTGGTAGAAACAGAAAAGAATCTACAATAAATTAAAACTAATAAAATATGTATATCTATTTTGAAAAGTGAAAGCTGTTCTCTTTTATGTCATCCTTTTAGATATAAAAAAATTAAGCCTCAAATGAATCATCAAAAGACTAGAATTAAGGATGTAGGCTATGTGCCAAAGGGTGTATGTAAACCTTTGCTTACAACAAAAAAAAGGAGAAATTAACTGAATCAGGGACACAAAATACAACTTTCTTAACAGAAGAAATTCTTGTAGTTGGAGTTATTTGCACTGCAATATATATTTACACCAAATGTAAACAGCACACATTTATAGGACCATTATAAAGTATTTTAATGATGCTGCCACCTGTGGCCAAAACTCGTTCTTGTAGCTAGCTCTCGTACCCGTCATGGGTTTGTTTTTAATTTGCCATTAACATCTGAGTTAAGCTGGATGCAGGTTTCTTCTGGCTATCCACAGAATCTATCTTAAATATAACGCTTCGATTGTTTGCTAGGTCGGACCCATAAAACGGGGATGCCTTTAACGTCAGATCTGCAGAACAGTGCAGCAACTTCCAACCCAAAGTAAATTGAAGAACATAGGCTACAATCTGCTTATCAAACAATGTTTTAGTTGTAAACAGTCAAATAAAAAGACCATATTAAAGATAATTTTAACTAAAAGCTTAAGTAATGTGTTTTTAAATATATTTTTTAGCTGTTTTTAAAATTACATTATTAGTCTGTATTCCATTCCATTTCAGCCTTATTTATAAAGCACTTTGAAACAACAAGGTTAACCTAAACTATAAAATTGTCAGGATTTGGTTGTGGTGTGAGGACCCAAATGCAGAGACAGGAAGGCAGTGGTGAGTTTCTTGATGATTTAATAATAGGTAAACAGACAACTGAGGCAGGATTCCAAAAATCAAACAAGAAAACAAAGTTAAACAAACCAAAACCATGGAGACATCTGGGGGAAACAATCACGTTGAGGAAAACTCAATTAGACGGAGTTGGAGGAAGTTTGATGAGAAACTGAACAGAGAGTGTATTTATGGGAGACTGAAACAGGACTAACGAGCAGATTGGGAGCAGATGTGAACAGAGCAGAATAGGAAAGGAGCAAGGGGTAAAGGAGAACACAAGAGGGCAGCAGAGGGCAATTAATAAAAAACTGAAAATAACCAGAGAACACAACAAAATACGAATTAAACCACTAAAACTAGAAAACATGGAGCAAAGTAAAACTGAAAACTCAAAAAAAAACATAACAGAACCAGAACTATGACAAAAATATAAACACTGGACAAAAACTATAGAACTGTAAAGTCACAATCTCAGGCTATGTTAAAAAACGAGAGTACAAGTGAGCTTTTCAAAATAGGAGATTACATTTGTTTGAGATGCAAACGTAGAGCATTCTACAGTTTTGGCTAAAGACACACAAAAAAATGTCAGCTCCCAAATTTCTCTTAGTTTTAAAGGTAACAAGAATCAAGTGATCTGCCAACTGGATGGTGGGGCTGCAGTAGTTCACACAGATATCAACAGAAAATACCACAAAGAAAAGTTACATACAAGTAAAAGGATTTCAAACTTTAAAACATGTAAAAAAATTGGAGCCATTGCAAATCATTTTAAATAGGTGTAATGTGTGTTTTTTTTTTAGAATCAGTTAAAAGTCGAGTTGCTTTTAATTCTGCATTCTTTGTCATTCTGCACAAGCTGAAGGCATGCAAGCAATAACTGACTGAGACCATCATAAAACTGCAGTGCAGAAATCCAAGCAGTTTGCGATAAAACATTATTTATAATCTTCAAGTGATGGCATTGAAGAAAAAGTTTGGCTTTGGAGAGTGGCCTTAGCTGAAAGATTGCAGTGACTTCTGTTAGACATGCATTTCCATCCTTTTACAATAACTTCAGAACTGTCTGTATCTACTTTTCGTCTAGTCATTCATATAGAGGTTTATCAAAACAAAATCTTTTCAAGTTCAGAACAGTTCTCTTTTAAAAATATCTATGAATCTTAAAGAATATTGATTACAATTTTTGTCCATTCTTTTCCCTGATTGACTTCTAGAAGTGTTTGTTGATTCAAATTTCTCCTGGGAACGGCTTCATACTCAACTGAAATGTGAAGCATTTTTTATTGTTGAACAAATTCTTTACTTTGCATGGCACAGCTGTCTGGGTCCTTATTTTCTTCAAATATTCAATAAGTAATGACATTATTTTTCAGCCTATTCAATACCTTGTTTTGTTGTATAGATTTTAAACGTCTGATAAGGAGATATCTTTTCTTATCTGAACACCCATGAGATATGTCTACATAATAAGCAGCAATGTTTTGTAGCTCTTAAGATTGAAGTCTTTTAACTAAAGCGAATATCCTGCATTCATGTTGTGTATGTTGGAAAATGCTTTTGTATTAGGAACCACTGTTATTTCAACTATTACATCGCATGGATTCGCCTGACCAGGCGAGATGTCTATGTGGGCAGCCAGGCCAACAATGCCCCTAATGACTCCACCCATTCAGAAGCATGTACCAGTATTGGGTATTGCAGGCTAACAAAGATCTCAATGACTCCCCATTCCAAAGGGATGGAACTGTTCTTCCCGTTCAATTTGCATGTTTTCTAAGCCAAGACAAGGCTTTGTTGGGCTACCCTATAAAGCCTCGAACTCAACGCTATTCCTGACATTTTGAATTGAAAAAGCTTCCTGGATGGGAAGCGAAAAGTCTTCAAACTTGGAAAACAAATGCCAGTGGATTGGTTTTTAACTTTTTGGAATGACTATGACCTGAATATCTGAGAGTCTTCACCAGCATACATCAACTGTTTTATTTCCTTTGTAGAGATGTACATTAGTTTAGGAATAACGGTTTTGATAAAAGCCCAGGAACAAATGCCACATTTGAAACGGTTTGTTTTCTGATCACAACATTAAATATTTTGTTACAGATGTGAGACATGACTTTGTATAACGTGAGTTTCATTAGGATAAAGCTGCATTAACTTTAAGTGAGTTCATCCTTCAATACATTTTGAGCAATTAGAGTATAAAATCAAAGCATAGGGTATTTGTTGTAAAGTCAAGTGCAACTTAAGTTCATTCCAAATGCAGCTGATTTCTGCTCCAATTACTCTGCTATCTCATCTGTTGTCAGGGTTACGTAAAGTCTAATGCACCAAATGTAATTGCTGTATAGTTTAATGAAGAGATTGAGCCAAAAAAAGTAATGCACAAGTCTTTCAAAGCCTTTCATAAGGGAACTCTGGTAAATGCTTTTAAAAAAATCAACATTCTCTAAGCCCTTTAAGACCCAGATTTAACATTGTGGAGTGAAAATTATATTCAGAGATCAGACTAAAGCTTATCAGCATGCATTATTAATGTTATTCCATATGAAATCTTTTTTTTCTGAAACGTGCACAGGGTCACATTTTACCATGGTATTCAAAAATGTTATCAGTGTTGTTTAATATTCAGACAGCCTTCGTCACTATAATAAGAAATATTCTAGTCTGAAATTACAAGAATCTATAAAGTATAATATGAAAAGCATATT